TTCCTAGTACATATGGTGTCCCTTGTGCTCCTACTCCCTTTTCTACTCTACTGCCTCTGATTCTCGTATTGCCTTTGGTTCTTCCAGTTCCTCTGGTGTTCCTTCTATGTCAGGAAGATCTCTTAGTGATTATTTTAAGTCATTATCATTTTCTATCGCTCAAAGACTCCGCTTGTCACCTTATAATTCATTTGGCTGTTACCGAAAGATGAAATAAAGTCTTGCAGATATATATCTGTCCACGAATAATTTGTTTACAGTGAAACATATAAGTGAACAGTATTTAGATAAGGCTAAAGAGGTCTTTGTGGCATTTATGGATTTGGAAAAGGCGTATGACAGGGTGGATAGGGGGGCAATGTGGCAGATGTTGCAAGTGTATGGTGTAGGAGGTAGGTTACTGAAAGCAGTGAAGAGTTTTTACGAGGATAGTGAGGCTCAAGTTAGAGTATGTAGGAAAGAGGGAAATTATTTCCCAGTAAAAGTAGGCCTTAGACAAGGATGTGATGTCACCGTGGTTGTTTAATATATTTATAGATGGGTTGTAAGAGAAGTAAATGCGAGGGTCTTGGCAAGAGGCGTGGAGTTAAAAGATAAAGAATCACACACAAAGTGGGAGTTGTCACAGCTGCTCTTTGCTGATGACACTGTGCTCTTGGGAGATTCTGAAGAGAACTTGCAGAGATTGGTGGATGAATTTGGTAGGGTGTGCAAAAGAAGAAAATTAAAGGTGAATACAGGAAAGAGTAAGGTTATGAGGATAACAAAAAGATTAGGTGATGAAAGATTGAATATCAGATTGGAGGGAGAGAGTATGGAGGAGGTGAATGTATTCAGATATTTGGGAGTGGACGTGTCAGCGGATGGTCTATGAAAGATGAGGTGAATCATAGAATTGATGAGGGGAAAAGAGTGAGTGTGGGACTTAGGATCTGTGGAGACAAAGAACTTTGTCCTTGGAGGCAAAGAGGGGAATGTATGAGAGTATAGTTTTACCAACGCTCTTATATGGGTGTGAAGCATGGGTGATGAATGTTGCAGCGAGGAGAAGGCTGGAGGCAGTGATGTCATGTCTGAGGGCAATGTGTGGTGTGAATATAATGCAGAGAATTCGTAGTTTGGAAGTTAGGAGGAGGTGCGGGATTACCAAAACTGTTGTCCAGAGGCTGAGGAAGGTTTGTTGAGGTGGTTCGGAACATGTAGAGAGAATGGAGCGAAACAGAATGACTTCAAGAGTGTATCAGTCTGTAGTGGAAGGAAGGCGGGGTAGGGGTCGGCCTAGGAAAGGTTGGAGAGAGGGGGTAAAGGAGGTTTTGTGTGCGAGGGGCTTGGACTTCCAGCAGGCATGCATGAGCGTGTTTGATAGGAGTGAATGGAGACAAATGGTTTTTTTAATACTTGACGTGCTGTTGGAGTGTGAGCAAAGTAACATTTATGAAGGGATTCAGGGAAACCGGCAGGCCGGACTTGAGTCCTGGAGATGGGAAGTACAGTGCCTGCACTCTGAAGGAGGGGTGTTAATGTTGCAGTTTAAAAACTGTACTGTAAAGCACCCTTCTGGCAATACAGTGATGGAGTGAATGATGGTGAAAGTTTTTCTTTTTCGGGCCACCCTGCCTTGGTGGGAATCGGCCAGTGTGATAATAATAAAAAATGAATAATTTATCAAATATTTCGTCAGAAACTTAGTTCGTTACACTAGTGAGTGGACCTAGTGAATGGAAATCCATTCTTAACCTGTCATCGTTGATCATTAAGGTAGTTACTGAGCCCAGTAGACGGAAAATATTCATTTACTGTTAGATGATGGCTCATCAAGGCAATTACTGAGCCAAACGGAAGGGAAGTCATCCTTCCGCTAAAGGCAGATGAAAATTGATTGTTGAGTGGCAGTAGTGTTTAAACTGCATAACTATGACAATAATTTTGTATCTTACAAATAATCGAATGTAAATTAAAAAACTGGATGACGTTTCAGTCCATCGTTGATCATTGTTAAGTCTCTTACGGCTTTATAATTGTTGGGAACAAATGTAAAGGACGACCAGCTGTTATTTATATTTAACGGTCTTGAAACGAATTGTTGGATTAACAACCTATTTAGTTAGCAACCTGAGTTTAACAACCTGAGTGTTAACCTGGGTGTTAACAACCTGAGTGTTAACCTGGGTGTTAACAACCCGAGTTTAACAACTTCGAGTGTTAACAACCTTAGTGTTAGCAACCTGAGTGTAAAGAAACTGAGTGCTAACAACTTGAATGTTAGCAACCCGAGTTTAACAACTTGAGTGTTAACCTGAGTGTTAACAACCTGAGTGTTAACCTGGGTGTTAACCCGAGTTTAACAACTTGAGTGTTAACAACCTGAGTGTTAGCAACCTGAGTGTTAACAACCTGAGTGTTAATCTGAGTGTTAACAACACACACACACACACACACAAGAGGTTACTACAAAAGCTAGAGGATCAGGCACACATAACAGGAAAGGCACCGCAATAGATCAGAGAATACCTGACAGAGAGGCAACAACGAGTCATGGTACGTGACGAGGTGTCAGAGTGGGCGCCTGTGACAAGCGGGGTTCCACAGGGGTCAGTCCTAGGACCTGTGCTGTTTTTGGTGTATGTGAACGACATAACGGAAGGGATAGACTCAGAAGTGTCCTTGTTTGCAGATGATGTGAAGTTAATGAGGAGAATCAAATCGGTCGAGGATCAGGCAGGACTACAAAGAGACCTAGACAGGCTACAAGCCTGGTCCAGCAACTGGCTCCTTTAATTTAGCCCTGCCAGATGCAGAGTCGTGAAGATCGGGGAAGGGCAAAGAAGACCGCAGACACAATATAGTCTAGGTGGCCAAAGACTGCAAACCTCACTCAAGGAAAAAGATCTTGGGGTAAATATAATACCGAGCACATCTCTTGAGGCACACACCAATCAGATAACTGCTGCAGCGTACGGCGTCTGGTAAACATAAGGATAGCGTTCCGATACCTCAGTAAGGAATCGTTCAAGACTCTGTACACCATTTACGTCAGGCCCATACTGAAGTATGCAGCACCAAGTTTGGAATCCACACCTGGTCAAGCATGTTAAGAATTTAGAGAAAGTGCAAAGGTTTGCAACAAGACTAGTCCCAGAGCTAAGGGGATTGTCCTACGAAGAAAGGTTAAGGGAAATTGGCCTGACGACACTGGAGGACAGAAGGGTCAGGAGAGACATGATAACGACATATAAAATACTGCGCGGAATAGACAAGGTGGACAGAGACAGGATGTTCCGGAGAGGGGACACAGAAACAAGGGGCCACAATTGGAAGTTGAAGACTCAGATGAGTCAGAGGGATGTTAAGAAGTATTTCTTCAGTCATCGAATTGTCAGGCCGTGGAATAGCCTAGAAAGTGATGTAGTGGAGGCAGGAACCATACATAGTTTTAAGTCGAGGTTTGATAAAGCTCATGGAGCAGGGAGAGAGAGGACCCAGTAGCAATCAGTTAAGAGGCGGGGCCAGGAGCTATGATTCGACCTCTGTAACCACAAATAGGTGAATACACACACACACACACACACACAATACAAGGCATGGCAAATGCACTGTAACCTAATATTTGAAAAAGGTACAGAAGCATCACTAAATTAGTGTCATATGTACAGTTCTGGGTACAACCAGAGTACAGTGCCAGGTGTATAGTGCCAGATGTACAGTGCCAGGTGTATAGTGCCAGATGTACAGTGCCAGGTGTATATTGCCAGATGTACAGTTCCAGGTGTATAGTGGCAGATGTACAGTGCCAGGTGTATATTGCCAGATGTACAGTGCCAGGTGTATAGTGCCAGATGTACAGTTCCAGGTGTATAGTGGCAGATGTACAGTGCCAGGTGTATATTGCCAGATGTACAGTGCCAGGTGTATAGTGCCAGATGTACAGTGCCAGGTGTATAGTGCCAGATGTACAGTGCCAGGTGTATATTGCCTGATGTACAGTGCCAGGTGTATATTGCCAGATGTACAGTTCCAGGTGTATAGTGGCAGATGTACAGTGCCAGGTACAACCGGAATATAAAACCAAGTGTATAGTGCTTGATGTACAGTGCCAGGTGTTTAATGACAGATGTACAGTGCCAGGTACAATGAGTACATAACCATGTGTATAGTACTAGATGTACAGTGGCAGGTGTTTAGTGCCAGATGTACAGTGCCAGGTACAACCAGAGTACAGAACCAGGTATATAGTGCTAGATGTACAGTGGCAGGTGTTTGTTACCAGATGTACAGTGCCAGGTACAACCAGAGTACAGAACCAGGTGTATAGTGCTAGATGTACGGTGGCAGGTGTTTGTTACCAGATGTACAGTGCCAGGTACAACCGGAGTACAGAACCAGGTATATAGTGCTAGATGTACGGTGGCAGGTGTTTAGTGACAGGTGTACAGTGCCAGGTACAACTGGAGTACATAGCCAGGTGTATAATGCTAGATGCACAGTGGCAGGTGTTTAGTGTCAGGTGTACAGTGCCAGGTACAACTGGAGTACAGAACCAGGTGTTTAATGCTAGATGCACAGTTTCAGGTGTTTAGTGCCAGGTATACAGTGTACTGGACATGATTACCTAGTTAAATCGTGGTGATTGGGGTTAAGTTCTGTGATGTCTCGCTACCAGCCTCAGTAGTCGCTGGTCTGCTCGTCGTCAGTATCCAGTCCATTAAGAAAGGAATTCAGCAAAGTATTAAACCCGTATGGATCATTCACAGCTAGCAGTGGTGGAAGCTCGAGACTCCATCCGTAGAACACGAGCAAACATGCTACATTAGTGTAATTACCTATTTTATTAAAAAATCACATACTACCTACAGGTGTGTTGATGACCTGTTTCTTTCCTGCAGGTGTGTTGTTGATCTCCTTCTTTCCTACAGGTGTGCTAATGACCAGCCTCCTTATTACAGGTGTGTTGTTGATCTGTCTACTTCTTGCAGGTGTGTTAATGACCTGTCTCCTTACAGGTTGAAGCTAACGTTCGCCTGCATGATGGAACTGTCTCGCTTCCCCCTTGATGTCCAGGTCTGCACCATGGAGATTGGTTCTTGTGAGTACAATATCATGGTTATCCTGGTAACTTCGGGTATTATTTCTAAACGAAAGGAGTGTTCGGAGGATGTATGGAGAAGGATTGGAAGTTGGAGAAGTGTTGGAGGATGAAGAAGGTTTGGAGGATGGAGAAGGGTTAGAAGATAGTGAAGGGTTGTTGTATGAAGAAGTGACGGAGGACGGACGAAGGTTGGTTGTAGCTGAGAATGGCAGTCAAACATTTAGTTAAGTTTATCCTACGCGTCTCTGTTGTGTTAGTCGGCAGATAGGAACTAAAACATCGAGGATGATGGTCACAGAGAATGTTCCTGTGATATTCCCGTAGTTTTTACGATTTACTTTTTTCTGTGAACGCTCTAAGTGATCTCTATATTTTAATCTCAGTATTTTGAGCTTCGAGTACAGTACATTAGACGTGCGAGCACGGAAATGTATACAAGACGTAAGAACACAAAGTAGTATGCTAGACGTTGAGTACACAGAGCAGTATTCTCAACGTAAAAGCACTGAACAATAAACAAGACGTTGAGAACACAATAGTATTCTAGACGTGAGAACACAACAGTATTATAGAAGTGAAAATACAGAGAAGTATTTTAGTTGAGAAGTATACATGATTTGAAGAGTATCGTATCGGCGAGGGTTCTCTTGTTTTGACAGTTCTCTAAAGCCCACCTCTCATTTTCCCGGATTTGGGTCTACGTTGCCTTTGATGTGTTTTCTGAACGTGAGGTTCTCGGGAGTAAAGTATTCCTAAATCTTTTGAGATGTAAAGCACGGAGAAGGGTGGAGGAATGAGAAAGATTTATAAAAGGAAGGGTTTAGAAGACGAGGTGGTTGGAAGGAAGGGAAGGAGAGTTGGGATGTAGAGCGGCAGCCTGGTAACTGGATCACAGGGAGAGAGCCACCTGAGGGCCATTTAGCTAAGTAGGTCGCCTGACCCCACAGCGTCGGTCATAAATTATTGGTTCGATCAAAGACGGCCATGTCTCAACTGTTTTGTGGTAATATGATGGAAGACACTTGATGGGAATCCTGCCCATGCTACAGTCCCAGCCACGGACCCTACTGCAGTCCCAGCCACAGACCCTACTGCAGTCCCAGCCACGGACCCTACTGCTGTCCCTGCCACGGACCCTACTGCAGTCCCAGCCACGGACCCTACTGCAGTCCCAGCCACGGACCCTACTGCAGTCCCAGCCACGGACCCTACTGCAGTCCCAGCCACGGACCCTACTGCAGTCCCAGCCACGGACCCTACTGCAGTCCCAGCCACGGACCCTACTGCAGTCCCAGCCACGGACCCTACTGCAGTCCCAGCCACGGACCCTACTGCAGTCCCTGCCACGGTCCCTACTGCTGTCCCTGCCACGGTCCCTACTGCAGTCCCTGCCACGGACCCCACTGCAGTCCCTGCCACAGTACCTAAATCACAGTGCTGACGACGAATTTATTTTTTGGGCCCTTTTCTCGAAAATACCATCCCTTATTTACAAAGGCGAGACAGGGTTTATCATATCATCCTAATGCATTTTTTTATTTCGTAGTCATGCATTGTAGAAAATTTAAAAATTGTCAGGTAGGGTTTAGCGAAAAACAGATGTATGGGGATGTGTTCGACCCGTATAATGTGATCATAGGGTTTTTATTTACATAGCAAAATTTTTTTGTGTTACTAGTTAAATTAAGTTATTTGACATAGTGAAATATTAGACGGTTTCCTTTTAGTTTCCAACTTAGGATGTAAGGCATGATTGATATAGGGCGTGGCATGAGTGATATAGGACGGGCATGACTGACATAGGATGGCAGACGTGATATAGGCTGATGACGTGATGTGGGGCGGGGATCCCCGTGATGTAGGGCGGGGATGAGTGATCTAGGACGTGCTTTGAGGATCGGGGGAGTGGATGACTGATCTAGGACGGGGGCTTTACGTGATCTGGACGTGGCATGACGTGATCTAGGGGGTGGCATGATTGCCCTAGGTGGGCATGACGTGATTAGGACGTGGGATGACGTGATCTAGGGAGTGGCATGACGTGATCCAAGGTTGGCTGACGTGACTAGACGGGGCATGACGTGAAAAAAGGTGGCATGACGTGGTAATCTCAGTCAGTTTTGTACATGTTTCATTTTTCTGATTTCCCCTTTTTCCTGTAGTGGGCAGGTGGGTTAAAGTTCCTTGATATAGGGGTTGGTACTTCACCTCTTATTCTATTTTTTGGTCCTTCAAAGGGGGTGGACACTGATGCGAAAAAAGGTCATAACCCCAAGGGAAATTTGGGGAGCTACCCCCCCCGCAAATTTCACATCTTTTTAACCCCATCCCCCATACACTTTCCACGATTTAAAAAGTTTTTCTTGTAGAGGTAAAGTAGGAAAACGAAGGGAGCTTCCAGATTTCAAGATAGCATCCAAATAATATTATGTTACCCCGGACTTGTTACCTTTAACTCTTTATTTAAATTATTACATAAATCTTAATTGAACTTTAAGATTTAATTGTTTTCTCACAGGCTAACTTTTTTTAACCCCGGGGCATCCAAAGCTACCAGAGATTAAAACCTGTGTGGAAGCTAGGGACCCCATCAAAATTATAGAGTCTCAAGATGCCCAGTTTCAAAAATCATCGAAAACGAACTGCCCCGTTGCACGAAATTTCCAGTTTGGTGGTCCCACCCAACCCTGCTCTGTCGTGTGGTAATGGTTACGTTAGGTGTTAAAATACTACTCCCCCGGGCGGTATTGATGTTGATGTTGGCAGGGGTGTTACTCTTACAGAGAGATGTGCCAAGTATTTACACACAGCAAGTTTTTTAAGTGTTTGTTTATGTGGTCGTTACTTTTACATACGAGAAAATGTACATTTAAGACCCTTTTTAAAACCAGTCAATTTTTAAGGATAAAAGTCTAGCAGAAACCCCAGCGATGAACGGTTCATTAGAAATTACAACCCGATACTAGTTTTTTTTCCCGACGAAAAAAGTCACCCACCCCCATTACCCTCCATCTCCACCTCCTCCTCCACTTTCCCCCCCTCCTCCTCCTTCTCCCCCCCTCCTCTCCCCTTTCCCCTCCACCTCCACCTCCACCCTTCCCCCCCCTCCTTTCCCCCTCCTCCTCCTCCCCTCCCCCCCCCTCTCCTCCCCTTCCCCTCTCTCCCCCTTCCCCCTTTCCCAAAACTCCCCCATAACCTTCCTTCCCCCCTTAATTACTTCCCCTTTCCTAAAAACCCTTTCTTCCCAAGAAAAAAAAAATTTTAAAAACTTTTAATTTTTAATGCCCCCTAAGAATTTTTATAAAATGACGTAATTTAAAAAAAAATTTTTTATTAATCTTTTTAGAATTCACTTTTTTTTTCTGGAGGAAGGATCCCAACATAACTTTTTGTGAAGTGTCAAAATACTTTTTTTGAGAGTTCAAAACTTTTTGTGGAGTGTCAACATAACTTTTTGTGAAGGTCACATAACTTCTTGTGGAGTGTCAACATAAACTTCTTGTAGAGTGTCAGCTAACTTTTTGTGAGAGGTAAAAAAAAACTTCTTGTGAGAGTGTCAACATAACTTCTTGTGGGAGTGTCAGCATAACTTCTTGTGAGAGTGTCAACATAAACTTCTTGTGGGAGTGTCAACATAACTTCTTGTGAGAGTGTCAGCATAACTTCTTGTGAGAGTGTCAGCATAACTTCTTGTGAGAGTGTCAACATAAATTCTTGTGAGAGTGCAGCATAACTTTTGTGAGAGTGTCAACATAACTTCTTGTGAGAGTGTCAGCATAACTTTCTTGTGAGAGTGTCAGCATAACTTCTTGTGTGAGAGTGTCAACATAACTTCTTGTGGGAGTGTCAACATAACTTCTTGTGGGAGTGTCAACATAACTTCTTGTGAGAGTGTCAACATAACTTCTTGTGAGAGTGTCAACATAACTTCTTGTGAGAGTGTCAACATAACTTCTTGTGAGGAGTGTCAACATAAACTTCTTGTGAGAGTGTCAACATAACTTCTTGTGGGAGTGTCAACATAACTTCTTGTGAGAGTGTCAACATAACTTCTTGTGAGAGTGTCAATATAACTTTGTGAGAGTGTCAGCATAACTCTTGTGAGAATGTCAACATAACTTCTTGTGAGAGTGTCAACATAACTTCTTGTGAGAGTGTCAACATAACTTCTTGTGAGAGTGTCAACATAACTTCTTGTGAGAGTGTCAACATAACTTCTTGTGAGAGTGTCAGCATAATTTTTTTGTGAGAGCGTCAACATAACTTCTTGTGAGAGTGTCAACATAACTTCTTGTGAGAGTGTCAACATAACTTCTTGTGAGAGTGTCAGCATAACTTTTTTGTGAGAGCGTCAACATAACTTCTTGTGAGAGTGTCAACATAACTTCTTGTGAGAGTGTCAGCATAACTTCTTGTGAGAGCGTCAACATAACCTCTTGTGAGAGTGTCAACATAACTTCTTGTGAGAGTGTCAACATAACTTCTTGTGAGAGTGTCAACATAACTTCTTGTGAGAGTGTCAACATAACTTCTTGTGAGAGTGTCAACATAACTTCTTGTGAGAGTGTCAACATAACTTCTTGTGAGAGTGTCAACATAACTGCTTTTGAGAGTGTCAACATAACTTCTTGTGGGAGTGTCAACATAACTTCTTGTGAGAGTGTCAACATAACTTCATGTGAGAGTGTCAACATAACTTCTTGTGAGAGTGTCAACATATCTTCTTGTGAGAGTGTCAACATAACTTTTGTGAGAGTGTCAACATAACTTCTTGTGAGAGTGTCAACATAACTTTTGTGAGAGTGTCAACATAACTTCTTGTGAGAGTGTCAACATAACTTTCGTGAGTGTCAGCATAACTTCTTGTGAGAGTGTCAGCATATCCTTATCAGTGGAGGCCTGGTCACAGACCGGGCCGCTGGGGCGTTGACCCCCGGAACTCTCTCCAGGTAAACTCTCCAGGTAATAACTTATTGTGAGTGTCAACATAACTTCCT